TGCCAGCGATTTGCATCGTAATTCGGTGTGGAAGTCGAGGTAACAGGGATAATGTGAAATTTTATTAAGTTTCTGCTATTTTAAATCATTGGCTTTTGATCTACAAATATGAATTATCAAAACAACGCAGAGCTTTATGGATTGCTGCAACTAAAAGCTCGATTTTCCCTTAATAATAATACCTTGAGATATTCACTCTCCATCTCAGAATTTATTAATAAATTAAAAAATACGTAGAAACACTATAAACACTATAAAATTTACTTTGAAAACAACAAGGACCAGAACACTAAAAAATACTTAGAAATACTAAAGACTATAAAATTCACAATGACCAAAACCAATATACGTAGAAACACATAAAATTCACCTCGAAAGCAGCAAGGGCCAGAACACAAATGCTCTCCTTATGAACTTCAAATGTCACCGGCTTGTTACCGCAATATTTGACCCGAATGGCCATTATAAAATCACGTGATTGAGATTGCCTAATTAGGCACTAGCTGACGTCACACACATACATACCCTCACTTCCGTTGGCGGGACAAATAAAGCATTTGAAAGGTCTATTTAACACACAGGCGCTAGCTTGTCACCAATGACATAAAGTGACTTTCGATAGTGGGACAAACATGTCATTGAGGTTATGTGTGTGAGGTCAGCTAGCACCTAATTGTGAGTGATCATTAAAAACAATAATGAAATAATATAAAATAATAAATAATTAAATATGATGGACGACTTGTTACAGCTAAATGAAGTTAGCTTATGCTAAATCAGCACTACCAACCTTCGTAAAATCACACGATATTTGTTACGATTTGTCACTAAAGTTGAACGTAACGATTTGGTTACGGAATACGATTTCCGAAAATATCGTTCACATCAAAGTCGTTACCACAACGATGTCGTCAAGTAACGACAAGTTACAGAATCAGCTCCTTAGTCCATACCAAATATCGAGCATTATAAATCAGCCGTTAATTTTTTATAAATATTTAAAGTTACGCTCGGAACATCACCATTTAAAACGACCAATTAGTGTGACGTCACTTTATTAGTGCCTTGTGACGTCACGACCCATAGAAACACGTTTTCGATTGCGTCATGAATTTCGACTTATTTGGTATTTTCAATTGAAGATTTTGGACACCAGAGATAAGATATTACTTTTTTTCCTAACTGCATCAATTATTAGGATGTTTGTTATTGTGTTTTATTATTTATTCCATTTTTAATTTAATGTGCAAGTTTCCTATTCAATTATTTGGATGATAATAATAAATGAACTACATAAATATAAAAAAGATGACTATGAACGAATTGAGGGAAAAAATTGTTCCGCACGGCAGAAAAACAGATTCAATGCCTTGGCTGGTTTCCTAGCCTCGGCTATGGAACACCAGCCGCGACGTTGAAAAAAATTTCGAACTACAACTTGATTTGAGAATTGGGTATATGTACAGGGTCTGCCGCACTTATTATAAGGAACAGACTCTGTACCTACTTACTTTCAGAGGCTTCAGTATTCCTTATAAACTCTGAGGAGCTCTTATTGATACTTTTATCTTTTAGTTGCACGTTCTCCCCGGATGACAAAAAAATCTGCAGGTCCCCACATAACAAAATTGCATCCTTAGAATGTAATAAGAATGTTCTTTTTTTAGGAGGAATGTGCCTAGAATGTTCACCAAAACCATTGCGAATGTCCTGAGAATGTTCTGAGAAAAGATTGTAGAAATACTGTTTGCAATACCCAAGAACTTCCTGGGAAATCCATAAGGATATTTCTAGAATATACCTATGAGATTCTCAGTACATCCTGAAAAGAATATTCCTGTTTGATTCTAAAAATATGCTTAAAATGTATATTCTCACATTCAAAGAATGTTTCTATGACATTATAGTTATGTTCTCAAAAGAATATTATACCAATATGCTTGAAATATTTTTAGAATACCGGGTGACAACAAAATCGTTATACAAGGCGTCATTCAGTTGTCTTTAAAGTTGAAAATTTGAAAATTGGGTGGAACGGGTAAGTCATTGAGACGCACATTTTTCGTAAAAAAACAATTGAATATCACTTCCGGTTACTCCGGAAATGGACCGAAGTCAAGAAATTTTTATGGAACCCTGTATATTTTTTTGCACAGTTGGATAGAGCTTAAAATTCCCTTTCTAATGACATATCACCAATGACACACAGATAGACAGAGTATTCCATCTATAAAATACTATTTGTTGTGTTGACAACATATGTTTATAGGCCAGGGGGGATTTGGGGTGCGGGCGGTCCATGGTGGGGATAAGTCGCCTGATCTAAGTCCGGCCTCAACAGATGATATTCGAAAAGTATTCCAGACTAACAAGAACATCTTATGTATCGGTCTTTTTTTAACATATACTAATCATCATCGCATAGGATAGAGACAACAAGATACCCAGAACGGAACGTATTACTACGACAAGAAGGAGGCCGAGTTTAGTCTAGTGCTGTGTTGCCAAGTGTAATTGAAAGGCAGAACTTTATACCTGCGTTAGAAAGAGAAAATAAAACATTCCTACGACTAAATGTGGCATTTTAGTAGTGGGGGAATTTGGTCAGGATAGAAAGAATCGGACATGTTATCAGCATATATTTTTTACCGTCTATCTGTGATAATAGGTCATTGCATATCACAACTTGCATTTGTTTCCAAGATGGCGACGTAAGAAGGTATTTTTCTTAAATTCAATATGGCGGCATTCTGACGTAACCGATAATGTTTCTGTCAAACAAACACTTTTAACAATCCATAATTTTTAGATTTGAAATGGTTTTAGATCGAATTTGAAAAAAAATAAAATGATTTTGCTCAAAAACAAGGGCATTTTAAAATTTCTTTGAAATGCAAATTTTAATTTCAAATTTTCTAAAAATTTTGAATAGGAAGAGGTACTTATTAAATTCTAGAATTAAAGTGTGTCCAATGGCCTACCGAAAAATGTCTACCAAAATGGTTATTCATTTTCCGGTTAGGTACTCAAAGGTTAGGTCAGAATGCCGCCATATTGAATTTAAGAAAGTTGGAAGGGACTTTCTAAGTAAAACAAAAGGCAGAATATCAACCCATTGGCTTTTTGAACGACCTTTCAGTGAAATCTTTGTTTATTTAAACGTTCCACAATGCCATTTGACGAAGGATGATATGCTGTCGTTCGAATTTTACATGAGCCAAGTGCTTTCAAAAACTCCTTCCACAAAGCTGACTAAACTGAGATCCACGATCAGTTGTTATAGTAGAAGGTACAGCAAATCTTGAGATCCATCCAGCAATGAATGTTTGAGCTATAGAAGAAGCAGTGATATCGCTAATCGGAAAAGCTTCTGGCCAACGAGAGAAACGGTCAATACATGTGAGAATATAGGAGTATCCTTTTGAATAAGGTAACGGACCGATGATATCCAAATGTACATTTTCGAATCTCTTGGAAGGAGGACAGAAAGTTCCAATCTCTGGTTTTGTGTGTCTTATAACTTTATTCTTCTGACAACTTTGACAGTTGCGTACCCAAAGTTGGATATCTTTATTCATATTAGTCCAAATAAAGCGTGAACATATGAGGCGTTGAGTTGCTCTGATTCCTGGATGTGACAGTGAATGAAGTACCGTAAAAATGTTTTTCCGAAAAACTTTCGGAATGAACGGTCTTGGTGCGCCCAAGCTCATGTCACATGGAAGAGACTTGTTATAAAATGGAAGAAAAACCAATTCAAAGACTAATGATGTGTCGTCAGAAGACATAAGTTTGGGTAGTTCTGTATCTACTGTTTGTGCTTCTCTAAAACTGTCAAAATCTATATCATCAAGTGATGAATAATCTATCGAGTTAATTTCCATCCTCGATAAGAATTCTGCTACTACATTGTCCATTCCCGCTGACCCGCTATATGTTGAATATTTGCAGATATTTGTGAAGTGAAAGTGAAAGACGCGATGAAGTCTTAATGACGAATTTCTCTTGGATTGTAACTATCTGAAGATGATGAAATGGCATAAATAATGGGTTTGTGGTCAGTTAGAACATGGAACTCACGCCCTTCAAGAAAATATCGAAAATGGCGTATTGCTAAATAGATAGCCAACAATTCTCTACCGAACTTACTATACCTGTGTTCTGTGGGAGAGAGTTTTTTTTTTTTAGAAAAAAACGAGATAGGACACCAATCATCACCAACCTTTTGTTGCAAGACAGCACCAACACAGTTGTCGGAAGCATCAACAACGATGTTAGTTTCAGCATTTTGTTTGGGAAAGTGTAACATGCATTGACTTGACAGAGCAAACTTGATATCCTCAAACGAATTAACCTCGAATTAACTAAATGTTTTGACCACTCAATTATTCTATTCTCATCTGCTTTAGACTTACATGTCGCGAATAGCGAATTCAATGGTTGCAAAATTTTTGCACAATTTGGAATAAAACGATTGTAAAAATAAATTAACCCAAGAAATTTCCGCAAGGAGCGAATAGTCGTCGGGCGAACGAAAGCTTTAATAGCTTTAATTTTTTTTCTAGAGGATGAATTCCTTTTGTGGCTATTTTATGACCCAAGAATTCAATCTCTGAGACAGCAAATTGACACTTTTCAATATTAATGGATATACCATATTTGTTAAGTTGTTCCAGAAACAAACGAACATATTCTTTGTCTGCTCAATTGTTTCACGAGCAATTAAACAGTCATCCAAATATGTGAAGCAAAATGGAAGGTTACGAGACAATTCATTCATGAACCGTTGAAATGTTTGAGCAGAATTTCTTAGCCCAAATGGCATAGTAATATATTCGAACAATCCAAATGGAGTACAAATAGCTGTCTTTGGAATATCTGCTGGGTTAATTGGAATTTGATGATATGCTCGTACCAAACCTATTTTTGAAAGCATAACAAGTCGCCCCTATTGCTTGCTGCTTCCCTCGTTTTCCTGCCATCTGCATGGCTGAACGCACTTCTTTGCCTTCTTCCCATAATTACTATGATACCAACAGATACAGTTCTCTGTGGGACTTGTTGAATTGACTGATCTTTTAGGTTGTCTTGTAGATGATTCAACAAGTTTCTTCAGCTCAGCTACTTCGTTTGATAGTTTGTCAAATTTTTCATTTAATCCCGATGATTTATTAATTCCATTTGCAGATATTGATGATTGCTGATCAAAAGATTCAAAAATATTGTCAGCCATTTTTGCAAGTTCTCTGATGTCTGAACTGTCCTTTAGAGCAAGTAACCCTATCTTGATATTTGACGGAAGATGATGGAGAAACATTTCCTTTAGGAAGGTTTGATCTAGGGCAGGAAATTTGTCTGTAAAAGATTGATTCTGTGATTTCAATAGTTTTCTTACTTAAGGTTACCTTGATTTCGTTTTTTCATCCGTGCAAAATCTTGCATTTTTTTATCCATAGTTTCCTGAATTGGAGTAGCTATAGCTTGGTTCACTACCTCCAACAAATTTTTGGACAGGTCTTGTGACACAGCTTTAATTATTTCCGAATGAGTACTTGTGTATAGCTTGTTGAATCTTTCAATCTCCCCCCTAACCAATTTTTGGGTTTTTATACAGTTTGTTAGATCATCAGAATTGCATGCTCTGCAGCAAAATATCATCGTGCGCTCTTGAAGGCGGGTTACATATGCCTCAGATTTTGTAATTTTAGAGCATCTTAGACAATACGGCTTACTGCAAATATCACATATGATTTTATAAGATGCATCTTCTGCTGACATTTCCTTATCGCACTTTGAGCAAGACATTTTTGTACCATGAAAGTTTGAGAAGGTATTGTCTACCAAAATATCTCTCAGATAGCTAGCAGTTTCAGGCGGCAAAGCAGTAATAATGTGATTATATTTGATCTTCGAGTCGGTGATACCATAGTTTGAGAAAACTGCTTCAACTTGAACAAACCATAACACCGAATCATGGCTCCAAAACTGAGGTAGTTTTATGTTGATCGCCGGAATTCTAACAGGACTGGCAAATGGTATCGGCACTTCTCGATCTTCGACTGTATCTCTGCGTCCTCTTACTCTGGGCATTTTCTTGTCGGGGTCACCAATTTGTAGGAATTAATTGAAGGTTTATTAGAGAAATCTAAAATTAGTTGACATTTGTTGTCACAATAAGTTAACATAGGTTGTCACCTATACTGGTATACTATCTAATAGGGCATGTCCATGTGACGTCACAAATGAGTTTGACAGTCGCCCTTAGGTAAAACAAATCATTTATTTACATTCGTTTAGATTAGGCCGGTTATGTTTTATGCGGTTTTCACAGCTTTTTCACAAGTTTTGGTGTTATTTTGTTTTAAAAAAGTTAGAGCGAAGTGTTTGTGTTCCATTCTATGTGGTCTTTCATCCAAAAGTTTGCTGAGATTTTCTATAATGGATTGAATTCAGGTTTTTTCCAACAAATATCAAAACCAAGGGTCACAAGAACAAATATATAAATATAGTTACTCTATATTCAATCTATTTTTCTGTCAGATCTTCTCTTTTAAGAACGTTAATCAATTTTTCTCTTCTCTCTTGAGCTAACAAATCAAACCACCCATTGTTATTTAAAATTGATGGAAACCTATGGAAGGATATTATATCCCTTGCGCTATACTGCCACAATTAACAACTAAACAAACTCTAGGCATGTCCAAGAAACTTCTGGAGCACACAAAAGGTATTTATTTAAAAAAATCTAACTAAAAACTTAAAAAACACTGTAAATTATATCTTTGTTTTACCTCAAGGCGATTGTCAATAGTGTCAAACTGTCAGATCGTGTACTTGCCCTATTGGAGTATGTACCATCGTCACCAAAAGTATCTGGGACAAAAATAATGCATAACAATCTCCTGGACTAATTCTACTGTCATTCATTTCAATGCATTTGATTCATAGTTTGACAAATATTTGACAAGAAAATTCATATAATAGTACAAGAGCTAATATGGTGCTGTCCCAGTTACTTTTGGTGACGATGGTGTAGTATTGCTATCACTATAACCCTACATTGTGTCAATGAATTTCGTTTTTAAAAGGATAAGTTTCTAGTAAGGCTATATGAACCATATTCATATTAATATTCATTTATATTATGAATATTCCGTGGAAGCCCCATCAAAGAAATTTTTCTTAATATCAAATTTTAATTTCATAATATCAATGAACTTAGTTCATCAGTAACCGATGCTCTATTCAACATAGATTCATGTAGGTTACTATTGATAACTTACTGAAGCTTCATTCTTTATTCTAATCATAGCTCTTCATGAAATAATAATACTCACAGTTTTCTGTACTAAGGATTAATGAAAATTTCACTGAATCAATGAAAATGTAGTTGATGAAAGCAGTTCATTGATATTATGATAAAGATTTTTTTGAGTAAAACAGAATCGAGAATGCGTGTGGGATCTTCTACCAACTAGGTTAGACCGCGTGGAATGGCAAATGCTTCAGCAATCTTTCCAGCATGGGTTGTTTGATGTTCGAAAACTTGAGCCACTATCTGGTTATAAACATTAAAATATCCCAAGAATATAATCTCAAAGTTCGGAAAAATCTTCTGGATAGAATTAAATAATGAATTTGCTTGATTTTCAAATAGAAGTTCATAACTGGAGTTGTTGGGTGAAAGATACTCGCAGCAAACAAACTTAACCATGTCCGTAAAAGGAATTTTTAGCCAAATTACATCAGGATCAGGTGATTCGAGATCATCCTCTCTGTGGCAAGAGAGCTCACTGCGAGAATAGATGCAAAGTCCCCCCTCAAAACGAAATCGCTTATGAAGTTCATAGCCGGGACATAGGAGATGGATTGAGTTGACAGAAGATTTTACTTGCGTCTGCGCTAAGCCCTTCTAAAAGTGCTAATTTGGATATGGCATTGTTCGCATTAGTTTAAGCTAATTTCCGCTTACAACAAAAACACAAGTGCAATACTTATTTGTTGCAACCAGAAAGCTGTTAAAGTTACATTGCAGCGCCAAAATTGATATTTTAGTGGAATTAAGAAAGTGCAGCGGACTTTGACATTGTTATTATGGATCATTAAGCCATTCCTTATGATATTCGAGAATTCTGGGACGACAGCATGGATGTTTTGTTCCAGTGAGTCTATGAAAGGGAATGAAAAAATGCTCTGCAACTCTCCTGGGGGCCGATTCTCGGGCCAGGGAGTAGAGCTCCCCAAGAGAACAAAATTTTCATCTTTATCATTCTCGTATACTTTTTGATTACGTTGACAAGGACAAAACATTCGTTCTATCGGGGAGCTCTACTCCCTGAGATGAGAATCGGGCCCCTGGTATTTAGGATGGATTGGATTGGTGTACCCTATCTGTATCTGTAAGTTTGGAAAGGTGGTATGTCACAGCACTTATGCCACAGTATGATCATTGTGCGCCTCCATTGGTGTACCCTAAGTTAATGCACAAACATGGTCATTGAATCACAAGTAAGGAAATAAAACAAAAACACAGGTTTCCAAGGCTAACCCCACTTCCTGTATACATTTATTTACGAGGTTTACAAGTTTGAGCTTCGGACAACAGTATCAGCATATTATTAACAAATTGTCAACAATAACTCCATCTATTTTTAGCTGACGATCACCAAGTGGAATGTTTTTTTTTTTTTTTTAATCTAGAACTTAATGTATAAGTCAATATATGTAGGGCCTCCCTAGGGTTTTGACGTCAAGTGCATGCAAGTGGCTGCTACGCTGATTTTCTGATGCTGCTATATGTCTCCTTCGTCAAATTCAAATGTCACTCCCGTCATAATTTGACCAAATCCTCTCCAAATCAGGCCTAGTTAGCGAGATATACAAACAAAAAATTGAAAACAGTGGAAACATTTACAGATTATTTGCATTTTTTGCTGTGAAACCGACAAGGCCGCACTTTTGTTACGAGAAAATCATAATTTTTCACAAAAATTATAAGCTATGGGCATAACAATATGTAGTTAACTTCTAATAAATGCAAAATAATTTAAACGAAACTATGATAAAACCTCTAAGCCCCATCCTGATTTAGAATTATTTTGAAATAGTTTTGACTTGGACTTACTCCATTTAAACTATAACTCCGAGATTTCCAACAATAATTATCGTTTATCGTCATTGTCTGCAACATCGAGCCATTTACCAGAAAACGGACAAATTCAGGATTCGGAAGCGCCATCATCCATACAACTTAGGTAATATTCCCGCGAGAGCCCAATAATCATACAAATGTTCTCCTGGAGCCGTCTTCCGATTCGACTTTGCATCGCGAAATTATCCTGGTGCGGCATTTGACTCGGCGTTTATGCTTTTACGTATAAGACTCTCGACTACTTCCTTTGTGACAAGAACTTTGCCGTGTTTATGATTAAAGGGCTTATGTATTTGCATTAAAAATATAAGCTTCAACCTCCGGGAAATCGCGGGCTTTATATAATGGCGTAATTGCATTCAGATTTTCTTTTTTCGGATTTATTTTTCGAGAGATTTACCTATCTAGTATGAAATAATGTTATCTTTGAAAGCTTATCTCAATATAAACGTTTATTAAGGAGCTTTCTTGGAAAAGTTTTGCAAGAACTACAGTATCTTTTTCGAATCAAAATTAATGTTTAGAGCATAGAAAGTCTCTAGGTCTCATATTAAATCAGCATAATGATGTCGTTGCCGTCATGTGAAATAAGATCGTAAAATGTTTGGTTACCAAATATCATTCAGTTTCGGCAAGGATAACCCACTTATTATGGTTACGTCGAGAAGCTGGGCTGATTCTACGAAATTAGTTGTATGGAAGCGCTTTTTTTTCTGGGAATTTTATATTATTGGAAAAAACATCTGAATAGATCTAAATATTTTGAAACTGTGAGTGATATAAGAATAGTGACTTCATTACTGGCTTTAGTGGCTTTGACATCAAAAAACAAGTCCACAGAGTAATTTTCATGACATTCCATCGTGTTCTATTCGGAAATTTGACTCTCGCACAGTTGAACAGCGAGCAGCCGTTAATGGATCAAATTCATCTAATGTTGGTGAACTTCATGGAACATTTGGCCAAGAGACAAGAAGAGGAAGACACACGACAGAAAGAGACAAGAAAAGGAATTTTGAAAAGAGAAAGAAGGACAAGAAGAGGAAGTTCGAAGATAAGAATAACAGGACCGGCTTCAAGAAAAAATTTAATTCCAGTGATAATAAATCCATACCGTAATCTCTCCATACAACTAGTCTGGAGAAATGTCTGAACGTAGAAGATAATAAATTCAAAAATAAAATGGAAAAAACATGTGAAGAAGTTGGGAGTGTCGTCATGAAGTTCATCAGGAACTTGGGAATCTTCGTCATGAAGTTCGGAGCATTCGCCAAGAAATGTATACGGTTGAGAAAAAGAATACAAAGTTAAAAGCTTTATTCTATTTGGTAAAAAGGCCATTCTAGAACGGCTGAGCCCTTGGCATTTTGTTGAATGATAAACTGTGCGATTGTTTTGAGTTAAAGAGTGTTGCAATGGCTAATGGTTGGAACTCCGATGACATGACTACAGGCTTGATTGTAGCATTAGGTGACCCTGTCTTACACCTCTTAGAAACTCCGCCAGCTTTTCAACAAAACTATGATAGGCTGGTCGATGCGTTAGAGCGTCTTTATGGGAATCAACAACCAATGCAGCTTTATCAGTTACAGCTAAGAACAAGACAACAGAAAGCTGCGGAAAACTCACAAGAATTTTAATCCGCCGTCTGGTTAATTTGGCGTACCCAAAAGCAACAGCAGAAATGCGGTAACGATAGGCGGCCGAAAACTTCATTAGAATTAGAGATACGGACTATAGGCGTATTGAGAGCGCTGCTCCTAACAGGTGGAATCATTAAAGATCGGGTGGCGGTTTAGACGTGAAAGAGGAGGTCGCGTATCCATCGATCTGATTCAAGAAGGAGGCAGTGTTAGGAAATTGCGTCTAGAGCCTGGTCTGGTTCTACGAATTTAGTTGTTTGCGTCCGGAGCGCGTCTTTTCTGGGAATTTTATTATA